TTTCCTTATTTATTCTAGAAACAGTCAGAAATCGGGAGGCAGAAGATTGTGTCTGAATTTCAGCAACTGCGGCAGTTCTTGGAGGAACAAGAGCGACTCCTGCTGGCGCAGCTGGAGAAGCTGCATGAGGCAATTGTGAAGATACAAAATAAAAATGTCAGTAAACTCTCCGAGCAGATTTCCCGTCTCAGTGAGCTGATCAGTGAGATGGAGGGGAAGTGTCAGAAGCCAGCGAGTGAATTCCTGCAGGTGAGACTGAGTGAGAAACATCCCATATCCCCACACAGGGAAGGGAGGGCTCCTGAATCATAAGCGCTGGGTCCAGCAGTCGGAGATCTCAGTGTAACTCAGCATGTGCGTTCCTGACATGTGAACGACTGTTGTTCTTTACAGTGTTACAGAAACAGAGATATTAGAGATGGGAAAAAACCCATTAGCTCAGCGATTCATGGCTCTGGGTCAGGGCAGGCGTTCTTTTCCTCATACTTGCTAAATCCCTTCCCTAGGATCCCCTGTGTGCATCAGATGGGACTGAGATTCTTTTCTCTCTCTCTCCTCTAGGATGTCAGAAGCACCTTGAGCAGGTACGTGGCTCTCTCACTCCCCTACACACTTCACAATGCTGGGAAAGAGCTTGGAGATGGTTAGAGCCGCATCTCCACAGGGCTCTACAGCCAAATGTGTGAGGAAAGGTCATATTTTGGATACAAATCTCTCTGATCAACTTCATCCTCACGTTCTCACCCTTTTATAGAAGACTCGGGAATTATCCCTTCATTGGGAAAGACTGACCTAAAGTATTTCCTAGCAATGTCACAGCCCTGGGGGACTGGCTGCCTCAGGATTGTGGGGATGGAATACGGGCCTGTCACTGCTGGGGCACTGGTCACCATTCAGCACAGGGCAGCAGTGGTCAAGAGACTTTCCCTCCTGATATCTGTATGGAATGAGCTGGGGAGGGGGGAGTTGGTGTCTCAGTCTAGTTCCTAGTGGACCAATTTCTACAGCACTTTGTATGGGAACCTCCTGTCCCTCAGAGCATGGAGGCCAATGAGTGAATTCTCCCTGGAGACTCAATTCCCCTCTTATCTCCAGAGCTGGTCTCTCCAGGTGAGAGCCGAAGAATATTAATGGGACCTTAAGTGGGAATGTTTCACGGCCAAGGGCTGTGTTGCACCTGCTCTGAGGGTGGGAGGTGTAGATGAATTTTAGCTCCAGGCCCATTAGAGCAGCAGCTCACTAGCCAGAACTTATAATGAGTCACTACATGAAAGATAACCATGTGACATTGTTTCTGTCTAGATGTGAGAAGGGGAAGTTCCAGCAGCCAAGGGAGATTTCTCCTGAACTGGAAGTGAGACTCAGTGATTTCTTCCAGAAAACTATTGCTGTAATGGAGACTCTGAGGAAGTTCAAAGGTACCAAGAAGGGACCTAGGAGGGGAAATTGGGATGAGCCTCTGAGACTGGGGGAGGAGAATGGCTCTGGCCAATTGGTTCATAATTAGATGATGGATCTATTTAATTGTTGGGTGAGAATGCCACACACTTGGGGTGCAAGACACTCAGGTTGATTTATTCAAACCCTTATTTCTACCAAAAGCCTGCCTTGCCATTACAATTACGGTTAAAGTAAGAAATGACTCATAGACTTTAAGGCCAGAAGGGACCATCACGATCATCTAGTCTGACCTCCTGCACACTGCAGGCCTCAGAACCTTGCCACCCACTCCTGCAATTGACACCTAACCTTAGGCTGAGTTACTGAAGTCCTCAAATCAGAGAATGCATCATTTATTCTAGTTTAATATCTGCTAACGATCCATGCCCCATACCGCAGAGGAAAGCGAAAAAACCCCCAGGCTCTCTGCCAATCTGATGTGGGGGAAAATTCCTTCCCAACCCCAAATACGGTGTTCCGTTAGACACTGAGCATTTTGGCATTTTGGCCAGACACCCGGCAAAGAATTCTCTATAACTCTGAGCCCTCCACGTCTACTGCCCCATCACCAGCCATTGGGATATTTGCTACTTGCCATCGCATATAGAAAGAAGTGCTGGCCAGTTCCCTTCTCCTGGGGCGTAGGCAGGTCACGGGGGATTTCTCCTATGAAGCTCTGACTATCCCTTACACTGTCTGACATATTATACACATCCAAATTACATATTTATTAGTTCTTTTCCAATCACCTTTGAGTGTTATTTAATATTCATATCTTATATAACTCATGCAATTCACATGCATGAACTTTTTTATTGGCAGGACTTTGCGCTCCAAGATATTTTCATGTTATTCTCTTTTCTCTTTGGTTTATTACTGCTAATTATGCATAGCTCACTTTGACTCTTTCCTCCGCATAGGGATTTTAGGACTTTGCTTACCACTCCTGGGCAGTACATTTTGGGTGTCTGTTCTCCTTAAGAATATTGTGTGGTCAAAACATCTCAACCTAGGAATACATCACTTGATATGAAGATCACTTAAGGCAACAATTCCCTTATGTCAAGCAAACTGCTAACCAGGCCAAAGCCAAGTCAGTCAGTATAAACGCTGAGTAAACAGACCCAGCAGCTCACAATTAGAGCCAGGATTTTGCAAACTCTCAACATCCAATTAGTGTCAAAGGCACCAAAGTGGGTAAAGTTACTGTGATGCCAAAGTCTTTGTATGATCTGGGTCTAGGTTACGACAAAAGGCCGTAAGTGAATGAGACAAACCAGCTGGAATCTGAAAGGTGGGAGGAGTTGATGAGGAGAAAATAAATCTTGTATGGATTATGTGTCCTGGGATGGTTGTGAGGCTGCAAGGACGTTGGTTCCATTGCTGAGAGATACCTGAATGAGAGAGGAAAGAGAAGGTTTCAGATTAGTTTATTTTAAATATCTGAGTGTGTCTCTGGGACTCTCTGTCTGTTTCTCTGTCATGATGAAAACTGTCTAGGAGTTCAGAGTGGGGATGCTGTTATAAATATGAAAGCCTGAAATCTCTTCTCTTTTCTCCTTTCCATCACCAGACACTCTGCCATCTGCACTGGAAACACCAAGAGGGGAACCCCTAGGAGCACACAGACAGGGTGAGGTTGGAGGTGGAGATTGTCTTTAAATCATGAGAAAATTCCAGTGAAAACATTTTCATGAGATTGTAGCTAAAGTTACCAACCAAAGTGACACCGACCACGACACACATAACTCCATAAATAAACACATTAAACAGGGAGGAGATCCCAAGCTGAAGTCACACAAACACTCCTGACACCAACTTTGGTGCTGCGTTCATGCCCAAACAGATTAATAGAAACTGTGGCACTGAGCATCACCCGAACAAAGCTCTCTGCCCTGAAACATCCCTCTGCTCTACCCTGGTGCAAGAGGTCTCTCCATCGCTCTTCTCCAACATCTGGCCTTTCCTCTGGGCAGGACTGGGCACTCCCATTGGAGCTGCTCACTGCTTCCTGGATTGGGGAGATGCTCTCCCTCTGACACTGCCAGCTCCTCCCTTCTCTCTGGGCTGGGGATGGGGCTACCCCACCCAATGCCACCCCCTACTCTCTGGTGTTAAGCAGCTCTTCCCCAATGCTGCCCCTTCCTCTCTGTTCCCTGGCCTGGGAGTGGAGGCTGCATTAGGGGAGGGAGTTTCCTTCTTCTGTGGGGTTTATAGCTGGTACCTGTCTCCTCTGCTCCTTTCTCACTAAAATCTTCTTGACACCTTCCTGGGTGTGTCTCTGATTCTGGGAATGGAGCAGCCCCTGCAAGGAATTGAGAAAGCAATAAAGTGTCTCCTATTAAACAGGCTGAAGAACTGCAATGACATCTCTACTCATACTCAGGTGCCCAGGACAGAGGCAGCTCCGTGGGATCCAGGACTGGCCCAACCAGGACGGGGCTGCTGGGGCGTGTGAGAAATAGTCCCAGCCTCCCCCAGGGCAGAGCTCTGCCCCTAACGCTCTGATTATCTCTTCCCCCAGTGAATGTGACTTTGGATCCAGACACGGCTCATCCCATCCTCGTCCTGTCTGAGGATTGGAAAAGTGTGAGATGGGGAGACACGCGACAGCGACTGCAAGATAACCCTGGAAGATTTGACTCTGATCCCTGTGTGCTGGGCTGTGAGGGATTCACCTCGGGGAGACATTGCTGGGAGGTGGAGGTGGGGGATGGGCGATTCTGGGCTGTTGGGGTGGCCAGAGAGTCTGTGAGGCGGAAGGGAGAGATGAACTGTAACCCTAAGGGGGGGATCTGGGCTGTGCGGCGGTGGTGGGGTCAGTTCCGGGCTCTCACCTCCCCCGTCACCCCCCTGCCCCTGAGCCGGGTCCCCAGCAGGATCCGGGTTTGTCTGGACTGTGACCGGGGGCAGGTGACATTTATTGATGCTGGTGATGAGGCCCCAATCTTCACTTTCCCGCCGGCCTCATTCAATAGGGAGAGAATCCGACTCTGGCTACAGGTCTGGGACCCAGACACCCGGCTCAGACTGTGTCCCTGAGATGGGGTGGGGAAGATACCACTGCGAACCCTGAGAGCAGCCTCTCAGACAGCACAGTCTCTGTGACCCTGGAGATTGCTTTGGGTCTCAGCCTTTGCACTGTCAATCCATAGAGAGCATTCATTGAGTGAGGTAGAGAAGCCAATCTCATTGTCCCACCAGGCATTGTGCAGCCTGTTTGCCACTGTCCTCTATGATCCAGGACGACTCTGGGGATTCTGGGTCAGACAGTGTCACTGAGTCATGGGGGGAACAGCCCACTGGGAATGGAAAAATAGGCTTCTCTAGCCACAGTCCTCCTAGCCCCTATGACCTGGAGCACTCCCATCTACCCAGCATTAGGGCTTATCTCTATGACCCGGGAAGACTCCTGTCTACCCAACCTTTGAGCTCTATGACCTCTGCAAGCCCCTCCCTTCTTACAGCCCCAGAGATGGGAGGGGGGGTGTGAAGAACCCCTGGAGCTGCAGGAGGAGCAGGTTTCAGAGTGGTAGCCATGTTAGTCTGTATCAGCAAAAACAACAAGGAGTCCTTGTGGCACCTTAGAGACTGACAAATTTATTTGAGCATAAGCTTTCGTGGGCTACAGCCCACTTCTTCGGATGCATAGAATGGAACATAATATTGAGGAGATATATATACACATACAGAGACATGTGGGAATTGTCTTACCAACTCTGAGAGGCCAATTAAGTAAGAGAAAAAAAACTTTTGAAGTGATAATCATGATAGCCCAGTACAGACAGTTTGATAAGAAGCAAGTGACAGTTTGATAAGAAGCAAGTGATGATGTTAGCACCGCATCTCCTCAGGCCTCTACAGCCAAATGTGTGAGGAAGGTCAGATGCTGGATACAAATTCCTCTGATCCATGTAAACCTCAGGTTCTCACCCTTTTATAGAAGACTCTGGAATTACCTGTAGAATGGGAAAGATTGACCTGCTTTGCTACTTTGTAGCAGAGGCAGACCAAGCAGCAGCTACAAGGCCGGGTTGCACCCCGGCTGGCAGATAGAATCTCAGTGACCGAGAGACTTTTTCCTCTGGACCAGATGAACTGGAACCATAAACTCACCAAATGAGGGTTAATCCAGCCTCATCATCATCTAGGGGGAGGGATAGCTCAGTGGTTTGAGCATTGGCCTGCTAAACCCAGGGTTATGAGTTCAATCTTTGAGGGGGCCACTTAGGATTTGGGGCAAAATCAGTACTTGGTCCTGCTAGTGAAGGCAGGGGGCTGGACTAGATGACCTTTCAAGGTCCCTTCCAGTTCTAGGAGATAGGATATCTTTATTTATATCCACTCGTTATACTCCACACCTGAACATAGCTATCATATGAACAACATCCCCTCCTAGCTCAGTGTCCGTACTTTGACCCGTTAACCTTTTACCCCCAATTGGGGCTATTGCAGATTATGTATTCCTTACGCCAGCTGATCTTAAACCGAACTTCACACCCCTTGTTAATCTGTAGGTTATTCCCTGATCACCAGAAACTTCTACGCCTAAACTCTGTACCATACACTTTTTTTTTTAAACATCATCTTAATAAAATGTTTATATTCTAGTGATGTCACGTCCCTGGGGGACTGGCTGCCTCAGGATTGTGGGGATGGAATACGGGCCTGTCACTGCTGGGGCCCTGGTCACCATTCAGCCCAGGGCAGCCGTGGTCAAGAGTCTTCCCCACCTGAGGGCTGTTTGGAGACCTGTGTGGAATGAGCTGGGGAGGGGAAGTTAGAGTCTCAGTCTAGCTCCTAGTGGACAGATTTCTGCAACACTTAACATAGGAACCTCCTGTCCATCAGAGCATGGAGGCCAAGGAGTGAATTGGCCATGGAGACTCAATTCCCCTTTTATCCCCAGAGCTGGTCTCTCCAGGACAGAGTTGAAGAATATTACTGGGTCCTTTGAGGGGAAGGTTGCATGGACATGGGCTGTGTTGCATATGCTCTGAGGCTGGGAGAAGTCAAGGAATTCTAATTCCAGGCCCATTAGAGCAGCAGCTCACTAGCCAAAACTTATAATGAGTCATTAAGTGACAGATAACCATGTAAAAAGCAACAGAGAGTCCTGTGGCACCTTTAAGACTAACAGAAGTATTGGGAGCATAAGCTTTCGTGGGTAAGAACCAAGTGAGGTTCTTACCCACGAAAACTTATGCTCCCAATAATTCTGTTAGTCTTAAAGGTGCC